GTTTGTCTCCAAGTTGAATAACATGTTCGCAATAGTAGAATACAAGTAAACATGGCTATGGTTTTATAAACTGAAAACTTGGTTATCGACATTTCGCATGGGAAAAACCTGAATTTAGCCGAACAAAATGGTATGGAAATTAAGTGCTTTCGAGCTTAAAAACGTTTGGACGTCAATTGCGGATTTTATACGGGCTGCATGACCGCAGATAGCAAAACAAATATGGCGATCGAAAATTTATCATAAAACCAACTTTATCACTCGGACAGGACAGTCTTGTATTCTACAGTATACTATTGCGAACATGTTATTCAACTTCGGGACCGACAATCGTTTTGAAGGCTGAACTGGTTAATATGTGACATGCTAAAAACGAGTTATGCTATATATGAGCGAAATTTATATGGCCATATTTGATCATACCAGTTTATACTGCTGACATCGTCACAGCATCATAATTATTTACGGCAAAGTGTGTGTGGAATCACTGTCAAGTACGAAAATTCATTACTCATTGCTCATTACTCGGAATACAAACACTGGCATTAATAATGATTGACGTTTTGTAATTAGCACCTTCACCGGTAGAGTCATAGAGTCATAACGGATAAAACCACAGTTTATAAACTGTGATAAAACTTAATTCGTTCAATTAATTAAATTCGTTTGAATTAAAAATTTGACGATAGTGCGAAGTATGAAACAGACCTAACCTTTAAATCCTCCTATAATTTTAGAGCAAAACTGGATGCTCAGAATATATGCAGGAAGTGCATGGCATTTCAATTCTGGGCTTCAAATTTCAAAGATTTTCCCCCAGACCCCCTATTTATGTGTGGTATGTCAGCCACACGTGGCCTTCAGCCATTGCTATTCCCCTCTGATATATTATCTCACAGACAAGTTCCTTTTCAAAATATCCCCCCCCCCCGGGAAAATCCTTAAAAAAGTCCCTGGCGTAGGAAGAATCACAATAACAGGCGTCTTCACCACGTAGCAAATTAATAATAGTCTTCCAGAGTTCTGGTTTCAACTAAATTTCGATCTAAGCCTAAATAGTCTAAAACATGCAATATCAGAAGAGTTTCCAGGGCCGTAACTTGGGGGGGGGGGTATATTTCATATATTCATGTTCACATACCGTAAAATCAATCGCTTTCAAATGAAATCCGTCGGGCAGTACACGAATATATGAATATACACACACCCAATTATCGCGTCTAGGAACGGCCACTGGTAACAGGCATATATTTTTTATGAGAATATATACGGCTATCTGCTATTCGATACACGGGCAAAATTATTGTTGACATTTGACCGATTTGAGTTACGTAATTACTTCCATCAACAAGATTAACCAATGGGAATTAAGCCGAAGTTTCTTCGGTCAAATACAAATTTGTCATAGCCATTTCGGCAGGTGTTTCCTCAAGGACGCCCTCACTTCTCCCGCCCGCACGATACATCAATTCCAAGGGAGTTCGGAAAAATATCCAAATTTCCGAGGGGTTGAGACAAATGTTAAAATTTCTGATGGGGTTAGGGCCCCCACAAAAAATTCCGAGGGGTTGAGAAAAATCGTAAATTTCCGAGGGGTAAAAATCAGGAACCTCGTCAACAGGGAGTGTTTCTGAGGGGGTAAGAAAATGATACAAAATTTCCGAAGGGTTATAAAAATTTGAAAATTTCCGAAGGGGTAAAAAATCAGCAACCTCGTCAACAGGGTCTGCTTCTGAGGGGGTAAGAAAATTATACAAAATTTCCGAGGGGGGATAAAAAATTTCCGAAGGGGTCTTCCATGATGGAACCTCGTCAACAAGTATTTGCTATTCCCCTCTAATATATTATGTCACAGACAAGTTCCTTTTCAAAATATCCCCCCCCCCGGGAAAATCCTTAAAAAAGTCCCTGGCATAGGAAGAATCACAATAACAGGCGTCTTCACCACGTAGCAAATTAATAATAGTCTTCCAGAGTTCTGGTTTCAACTAAATTTCGATCTAAGCCTAAATAGTCTAAAATATGCAATATCAGAAGAGTTTCCAGGGCCGTAACTTGGGGGGGGGGGTATATTTCATATATTCATGTTCACATACCGTAAAATCAATCGCTTTCAAATGAAATCCGTCGGGCAGTACACGAATATATGAATATACACACACCCAATTATCGCGTCTAGGAACGGCCACTGGTAACAGGCATATATTTTTTATGAGAATATATGCGGCTATCTGCTATTCGATACACGGGCAAAATTATTGTTGACATTTGACCGATTTGAGTTACGTAATTACTTCCATCAACAAGATTAACCAATGGGAATTAAGCCGAAGTTTCTTCGGTCAAATACAAATTTGTCATAGCCATTTCGGCAGGTGTTTCCTCAAGGACGCCCTCACTTCTCCCGCCCGCACGATACATCAATTCCAAGGGAGTTCGGAAAAATATCCAAATTTCCGAGGGGTTGAGACAAATGTTAAAATTTCTGATGGGGTTAGGGCCCCCACAAAAAATTCCGAGGGGTTGAGAAAAATCGTAAATTTCCGAGGGGTAAAAAATCAGGAACCTCGTCAACAGGGAGTGTTTCTGAGGGGGTAAGAAAATTATACAAAATTTCCAAAGGGTTATAAAAATTTGAAAATTTCCGAAGGGGTAAAAAATCAGCAATCTCGTCAACAAGGTCTGTTTCTGAGGGGTAAGAAAATTATACAAAATTTCCGAAGGGGGATAAAAAATTTCAAAATTTCCGAAGGGGTCTTCCATGATGGAACCTCGTCAACAAGTATTTCCGAAGGGCTTGAGAAAAATCGAAAATTTCCGAGGGGTTCCGCGAAAAATAGCAAATTTCCGAGGGGGTCTTCTCAAAAACCGTTTCCAAAGGGTTCCAAAATCAGTAACCTCGTCAACAGGGGGGGGGGGTGGATATTAAATGGAATGGACAATTATTGTTGTGGCCGAATGAAAGAATTCTGTGAGGGTTTTCCTTCGATAATATTTGTTTATGTGTATAAATTTTATTTCATAAAACTAAAGCTAAACGAAAATAACTTGCAGCGAAATGACAATAGAACAAACGACAGTATTAATGTTATATCACAGCAAAACGTATATTAAATTAAACTTTGTATATTAAAGCACATACCTTGAGCCTCGACTAAATATGGCGCTGTTGTTGTGAAGTGTCCTGTTCAGCGCTACTGTCTGTACTTTTAATAATACCAAAATTCTTTATGGATCATCCATGGATCAGAGGTCTTTGAAAGCCAAGTTGGATCCAAAATAGTTTGTATACCTCTTTATATCGTAAGATATTATTTAACGTCTATAAATGGCGTGTCGCTTTTCACACGGCAAATTCTTTCAAAACATATTCCTCGATATAAACTCCTTCTTGCACGCAGGATAAGTTACATGTTTTCGTCGAATGTTTGCGTAGTCTGTAAGCGTGTGCTATAAAGTTTGATTCTCAATACGTTTTTAATGCTCCGCATAAAAACTGTTCATATATAATGGCAAATTTTCAACCTTTGTCAGTCTGTCAGTGTTCTCAAATTTCATACGGCGAAGTTCAACTAAAATTTAGCTTAGCACTATATTAAACCAACAGACAGGAGGCAATGAGCGACGAGATACAAATACACGCAGTGTTCTGATTGGCAAAAAACAATTTGGAAGCTTGCCAGTATTGCGTGGGTTTCCTCTGAAGTCTAAACTGTGTCTAAAGTCTAAACAATCTTCATTTTTCAGCGCACATGCATATTTGCTGTTTAGGTTATGAGTTATATTTGTTATTCCTGATTCCTGATTTCGCTCGGCAAACGTTTTATAAATTATAACTTACATTCAGAGAGACAAACTGTTCTAAATGATAACACCAGAAGCCGTGCATGTGTCTGGCGGTATTGCGGAATTATATATGTCAACAACATGATTTTGCAACGCTCAGTCGAGCGCTCAGTAATACAGAAGCCGACTGCCAGAGGGTAAGTTTTCAAATATATAGTAGCTTCTAAAACCTTGTTGGTAGGGATGCAACTACCTGATAAATATAAGGAGAATGTGTACGTATCTAGCGCAGGCTCTTTGTCTGGAGTTAGTAAGTTACTGAGTTTAATACTCCAGACGAAGGGCCTTCGCTCGAAACGTCGACATTTTTTTCAGGTAGTTGCATCCCTACGAACGAAAGCTTGTTATTGTTGGCCCTACCAACCCTGACACAGACAGTTCAGAACCAAGTTCTGACACAGACACTTCAGTATCAAGTGAATTGGCTACATGATATATTACAATAGGCTGCGTTTATGTAATATTGTGTATCCTTGTGTCTCCTAATATTGTGACGATACTAATATTTAATAATAGGAAATTGATAAATGATCAAACCCTGCCTTGCTTTTAACCTAAAAAATGAAACCATCGAGTTTATGTAGGACTAAAGTCTAAACACAAGCCATGAAACATGTGGCCAAGGCAAAATCAATGATCTGGTTTCTTGCACTTCACTTGGTGGAATTATAAATATTAGAATGCTGGCTTTAGGGTTTGTAATCCAAATGAGTATATATACACTTTAATTCCAGACCAGGAATGACTGCGAAAAATGCAGCACAAGGTTCTCTGGTAGGAATTGAATCTACGGCCTTGCGATTTCGGTGCAGCGCTCTAAACAACTGAGCTACAGAGGCCAGCTAGCGCTGTTGAGCTGTAACCATAAATTCATGTATATATAGGTAATCGGGTGTAGCACAAGGTCCTCTGGTAGGAATTGAACCTCTGCAATTCCAGTGCAGCGCTTTAACCAGCAGAGCTACGGAGGCCAGCTGTTAAGCTGTAACTGTAAGTTCATGTATATATAGGTGATCGGGTGTGCGGGTTGTGATAAGGTAGACTTCAATTATCTGGTTACTTGCACTTCGCAACACCTGGCCTCTGCAGCTCAGTTGGTTAGAGTGCTGCACCGGAATCGCAGGGCCATTGGTACAATTCCTACCAGAGTGCATTGTGCTACATTTTATGCAGTCATTCCTGGTCAGGTCTTGAAGTGTATATATACTCACTTGGATTACAAACCCTAAAAACAGCATTCTAATATTAATTCCACCAAGTGAAGTGCAAGAAACCAGATCATTGAAGTCCACTTTATCACAACCCACACACCCGATCACCTATATATCCATGAACTAACGGTTACAGCTCAACAGTTGGCCTCTGTAGCTCAGTTGGTTAGAGCGCTGCACCGGAATCGCAGGGCCGTTGGTTCAATTCCTACCAGAGGACCTTGTGCTACATTTTATGCAGTCATTCCTGGTCAGGTCTTGAAGTGTATATACACTCACTTGGATTACAAACCCTAAAAACAGCATTCTGATATTAATTCCACCAAGTGAAGTGCAAGAAACCAGATCATTGAAGTCCACCTTATCACAACCTGCACACCCGATCACCTATATATCCATGAACTTACAATTACAGCTAAACAGCTGGCCTCTGTAGTCTGTAGCTCAATTGGTTAGAGTGCTGCACTGGAATCACAGGGCCATAGGTTCAAATCCTACCAGAGGACCTTGTGCTGCATTTTTTGCAGTCGTTCCTGGTCAGGTCTTAAAGTGTATATATACTCACTTGGATAACAAAACCTAAAAACAGCATTCTAATGCCAAGGCAAACCCCTAGTTTAATTTAATTTAAAACCCTTGTGTCTCATTTCAGAATTGACGACGTATACATATAATAAACTCTGTAATATTATATCCCAGCTAGTATCTGACTATACATTTAACCGCATTTATAGGGTAGAATGTTTTCATCTCTGCTGACCAAACCATTTTGAATACCATGGAATACCAACACCATTTTGGTTTTAGATGCGTCCAACACCATTTTGGTTTTGGGTGCATCCAACACCATTTTGGTTTTGGATGTGTCCAATAACATTTTGGGTGTGTCCAACACCATTTTGGTTTTGGATATGTCCAACACAATTTTGGTTTTGGATGTGTCCAACACCATTTTAGTTTTGGATGTGTCCAACACCATTTTGGTTTTGGATATGTCCAACACCATTTTGGTTTTGGATGTGTCCAACACCATTTTGGTGTTGGATGTGTCCAACACCATTTTGGTTTTGGATATGTCCAACACCCTTTTTGGTTTTGGATGTGTCCAACACAATTTTGGTTTTGGATGTGTCCAATACCATTTTGGTTTTGGATGTGTCCAACACCATTTTGGTTTTGGATGTGTCCAACACCATGTTGGTTTTGGATGTGTCCAGCACCGTTTTGGATGTGTCCAACTCCATTTTGGTTTTGGATGTGTCCAACATCATTTTGGTTGTGGATGTGTCCAACACCATTTTGGTTTTGGATATGTCCAACACAATTTTGGTTTTGGATATGTCCAACACCATTTTGGTTTTGGATGTGTCCAGCACCATTTTGGTTTTGGATGTGTCCAACACCATTTTGGTTTTGGATGTGTCCAACACCATTTTGGTTTTGGATGTGTCCAACACCATTTTGGTTCTGGATGTGTCCAACACCATTTTGGTTTTGGATATGTCCAACACCATTTTGGTTTTGGATATGTCCAACACCATTTTGGTTTTGGATATGTCCAACACTTTTTGGTTTTGGATGTGTCCAACACCATTTTGGTTTTGGATGTGTCCAACACCATTTTGGTTTTGGATGTGTCCAACACCATTTTGGTTTTGGATATGTCCAACACCATTTTGGTTTTGGATGTGTCCAACACCATTTTGGTTTTGGATCTGTCCAACACCATTTTGGTTTTGGATATGTCCAACACCATTTTGGATTTGGATGGGTCCAACACCATTTTGGTTTTGGATGTGTCCAACACCATTTTGGTTTTGGATGTGTCCAACACCATTTTGGTTTTGGATGTGTCCAACACCATTTTGGTTTTGGATATGTCCAACACCATTTTGGTTTTGGATGTGTCCAACACCATTTTGGTTTTCGATGTGTCCAACACCATTTTGGTTTTGGAAACGTCTAACACCATTTTTGTGTTGGATATGTCCAACACCATTTTGGTTTTGGATGTGTCCAACACCATTTTGGTTTTGGATGTGTCCAACACCATTTTGGTTTTGGAAACGTCTAACACCATTTTTGTGTTGGATGCACCAACGCCATTTTGGATTGGATGCCACTAACACCACCTTGGTTCTGTTGGATGCATGCATGCCACACCATTCCATAGATTTCTACATACTCTAAACTTACTTAACAACCCAGTATCTCTGCGTCTATGAAATTTGACGATAAGTAATAATACCTCGGTCATATAAAGTTGATGATTATGGAACAAAACTCCTATTTCCTCTTAGTAATGTATCTTCCCACAAAAGTTTGGATATTTTATTGCCATTTGATTTTTATCACAGGAACTTGCCAATGTCGACACTGGCATGAACATTAGAATGTTATTCCTCAAATATATCCAGAGTTTCATGCAAGTTTGCTAATTACACAACAAATGCGCGAATTGTGCATGACATAACAATTAACTTTCTGGACATTATTATTGAAAATTGTAATCATTCTCATAAAAAATAAGTTTATACTTTTTCCATACTGCAATGCAGTTGAAATAGACTTTTCGTCTAAATGGTTGGTTTAAAATTTCTTGTTAAATGAAAGGAACATTTGAAAATATTGCAACACAGCCTCGGAGACGTTATGATATTTGCAATTTTTGGCTTTATCCAAAATTTTCAACATTTATTGCAAATTCTTCATCAAATCGTAAGATTTGTCTAAATTTGAGCTGAATAGAATATGCAACCCTATCGTAGAACGTGTTAGATATATATAGATATATATATAGATATATATATATATATATATATATATATATATAGATATATAGATATATATAGATAGATATATATATAGATATATATATATATAGATATATAGATATAGATAGATATATATATAGATAGATATATATATAGATAGATATATATAGATATATATATAGATATATATATATATATATAGATATATATATATATATAGATATATATATATAGATATATATATATATATAGATATAT